TTTTAAAAAAACTAAGGAAATTGTAATTATCTTAGCCCTTAAAGTGAGTGCCTTTTAAGTCTATGGACTTATTTGCAAGGGAAAAGTAAGCGTTCTTGATCTCTCTTTTTTCCTCTTTTTTTTCAGTAACTGTAATGAGCTATATGACTAAGATCTCTAAATTAAGTCACTTTGGTAGGAAAACGGCGTTTCGAATGTAAACGAATTCACTAAATCATTTATTGTTAAGTTTATAAACTCATTCTAACGTTCACCTGCCGCGGTGAGTTCAGCTAGAATAGTAATACCACACGGTTATAATCTCGCTGAAACTAGCAATCTAGAGGAAAGGCCGTTTTTAACAAAGGAATGTGAGCGTAAAGTTTAGAGAACGTGCCCGCCAGGAGGTTCGCGCTATGAAAACAGTAGATGTTTTCTCTTATGACAACTTTCAGGTTAGAATAAATCACTTGTTTTAGGTGACTTTACTGTGGTCTCAACGGTTTGCAAATCGAAATGTTTTATAAAACTTAGCGAAAGACTCCGACACTTCGATAACTCCCACTGTAAGAAATTTCGCTCAAAATCGTGTCATTCAGCTTTTTCTCGTGTTGATATGCTTTGCGTAACACTTCAGAACTTTGCTGTCAACAATCTAGTTTTTATTTTTACAGTAATTCAAACATGAAAAATTTTAAAAGTTATTTAAAGCTTTCGAAAGCGGAGTGGCGAGGTCAAAATTTAATTACATATTTCAGAGCTCGGATAAGCACTAAGGATGAAAATGTCGATACAAGGAAAAGGTTCTACGAAATCTTGAAAAATCTGCTGTGAGTTTTGATTGAAACGTTAGTGGGAATTTAATGGCAATTAAACAGTCCTTAGCTTATCTTTTTTGTATATTTTCTTTTTAACTTTGTTATCTCTCTGTAAATAAGACTTAAATAACAGTTTCACAGACATCACGTGCGCTCTACTATAAATTTTCAGACCTATTGCTCTCCGGCCGTGCTTCTTTAAGACCACCTGTTTTAAAAGGCGAAAGAAATTTTTCTTTCTTAGTAAACAGAATAACAGTTTACAAAACTCTCACCTGCCGGAGCATTGTGAATCTCCAGTGCAGTAAATGTTTTTCTAACCCGTAAAGGTTGTCTTCACCTCGTCCTCACCGCAATGGCAACAGTCGTGGGAAAATACTGATTTCGGAAGCTGAATTAAAATTGTTTACAGACAGAAATTTGCGAAAGGTGAGTTCATTTAGAACATCATTTTTGTCAGTTGAAATTTATAAATGAGTTGTTTTCCAAATAACATACGTTCTGATTCTCAACCGACACGATATCACATTATGAACGTATTCGGCAATGCGAGAGAACAAGGTGATAACGTCGAGGTATGAAAGTGTCGATTTGGAATTTTTTTGTGCCCGATTTTCTTTCAGTCCGTAAACAACGCGATTTATCGTGATGATATTAATTCATGGCTTTTTTAGTCGAATGAGAGCCCTATAATGCCTGATGAGCGATTCCATTCAAAATAACATTGATAAAAGCTTACTTAGCATAACTTAGCTAACTGTCATAAACTCGCCTTTTTTGCCCCGTGACACAAGGTTTATCTGAATCGTATTAATTTAATAAGAGAATTTCTTCACTAAACTTCAATTGAGCAGATCGTGCTGTCTCATGCAGGGTACACCATGTTTTTGTTTCTATAAACTCCGTGTCACCTTTGCCTGTAGTTCTAAACAAACAGACACGTCATTTACCACAGCAAAAAAATAACTCAGGTCGTTGCTGCCAGAAGTATTCAATTCATCCTAAAAATATATCAACTTTTATCTGCATGACAATTTTTGTGCCCACAACATCGATTCATTCTAATAGAGCCAGCACTGACTGAAATGCACTTAGCTTTCTCAGACGAAATCGATCCACTTTTTGAGAAAAAGGTGAGATAAAGACAGACGTCTAAGTCAGAATGCGTTCTTGATGTGATGTTAAAATCTCCTAACTGATTTTCAACTCAACGTATTCCATTTAGGAAGGTGAATTCCTTCTTTGTTGTCACGAATCAAACGTAAGACCTGTAATTACTTCAATTTCCTTGCGTTTGATTGTTAAATTTCCTACCATCATTTCACACAATTCATTCTCAATTCAGTTTCACGATATGTCTCCTTGAAAAAAGTCCTTAACGGTCTTGTAGAGTGCATTCAGATACTAACTTTAGCAATGAAGAGAGTAAGTTTCTAAAGAAACTGTGGTGCTGCGTCAGTGGGAGAGTATAACAGGGTAATTTAGTATTATCAACTAAGTTGATAACGTAAATTGGCCACCGTAAAGAGTTAAAAAGCTGACGTTTCGAGTGTTTGCCCTTCGTCAGAGCGATTGGCGAAGGGCTAAAGCAAGAAACGTAAGCTTTGAAATTCTTTACGGTGGCCGATTTACGTTATCAACTGAGTTGATAATACTAAATTACCCTACTAACTTTAGCAATTCGATTCATGCTACCGGAAAGAATAGAAGAAAAAAAAAACCGCTCCACGTAAATTTGTATTCCTCAACAAGTTTCCAGATTATTTTTCAGTTCTCCTCGGTCTTTAGTAAAGTTCAGTTTTAACCTATCTAAATTAACTTGTATCAATTTGTCTGCAGTTTTACTTAAATCTTAAACAGATCATTAACCACTGAAAGTCTTCATCATTTCGGCCATGCTATCATGATAATTTTGATCAGTTAAGAAATTTCTCTTTCTCTTAGTTTTTCCTTCTCTTCGTTTTCATGTTTTTGACTTTTACGTGATTCACAAAGTTGCTCTGTTCGTTACTGTGTTTGCTTCTTGTTTCCGCGTTGTTGTCATTCATTTTTTTTTATTGTCGATTATGCGCGTAGGCTGCAGTAGCCCAAGCGGAATGAATTCCGGAAAAAATTTTCGTTACACAGAACTGCACGAACCAGCACATAGAAGTGAAATTTCTTACTGATGAAGGAAAAGGAATGGAGAAAGAGTGAAGCAAACTTAAAATTTCACTGACTATCGCGTGGGTCTAAGCGAGATAAATATGGCGGCACCAGCACTTTTTGTCTGTCACGTCCTTTTTGAACTTCCAACCTTAGAGACAAGAGAGAATCATTCTTGAGAATTTCTTGAATGAATGGTATCACTTTCTTTCCTAGAAACTTCTCGCGATAATGTTTTCCTCCTTAAAGACGCTTTTATCGAAATTGTCCCTGAAGCTCAAAAGTTGCGTGCAGAGTGTTAATGGAAGAAAATATTTCTGCTTAAAAAAATGATTTTCTTTTGATTTTTCAGTCATGGTTGGTGTCGTACTCTGTGTTTTGTTCCAGCTATGGTTTGTTTATCTGTTTCGTAAAAATTATCCCAATTTTGGCATACCGTCACGTTCGGCCTCCATTCTGTCCACAGTTCAGTAAGCAATAAAGTTCATGCTTACATTTGAAGAAAAATCTTGTGATATCTTATTAGCTTTGAGAAACCATATTATATTGCAGCTGATCAGTGAGGGAAAAACCCTAACTAGAAAGGTTAGTAGTACAACTGATAGAGCAAATAGGGTCTAAATCTAATTTGAACGAATGTGTTCTCTTCACGGTTAGAATTTAAGCTGAACATGTCACTCAATATTCAAGGATAGTCACGGAGTGATTGGAAGGAAAGCTCAGGATTTGATTTGGTTTCATTCACTACGGATGGAGATTGTTTCAAAGCTTCGTAATCACATTACCGCAAAATCTTGCTTAAACCTTCCAGGTTCAATTTCCGTTGTTTCACTCACATCGGCTGAAACAGTCTTAAATAAGCATAATTTAACTCAGTCAATTGAAGTGGATAAACGTACGAGTTAAGATCATGAGAAATTATTTGGTTTGACTAAAGTATGTGACAAAAAGTACGTCCTAGGATAAATTTTCGTCAGTAAGTGCGCATGGTATGAAGTCTTTTTTGATTGTTTTAGAACAGTTAGATTTGAATTGGAATTTTTCTTTTTGTCCTTGAACTTGCTTCAAACAAAAATTTCTAAAAATTCCTGGGGCTCTTTTCTGAATCAAATTCTTTATCGTTCAGTTAAGTCTCGAAAAACAGACAAAATTTTCAATTTTTGAAGATAAGTCAACCTGTGTAATAAATTGGAACAATTTTAATCATCTGGAACAAATCGAAAACGCTTCAGGCGAAACAATTGTCGACTTCGTCGCAAAGAAAGTTCATTATGCTTTTTTCACCAAAAAGCTCACCGGCAAACTTGATTTACACTTACATGTCTATTTTTTATCGTTTTGATTAGTACAACTTCTTCTTATTTCAGTCGATATGTTACTGCTTAATAATCAGCCAAGTTGTTACTTTGAAATTGAATTTGTTTTGTCATCATGGGTGTGGTTTTGCAGTCAGCATTGCTAACCTCCAAATTCGTACAATCATTAAGATTTCGTCCGTAATGTACTTGACACTCGCAGTAAAAGTCTTTCCACTGGAAAAAATGCATCCATTATGAATATTCTTCCCAATAAAGATGAAAACTGCATGCAAAGCAAACAAAAATCTTTGTATGTGGTATGGGGCTTTTGTAATTTTATGCACGCGAGCGAGTGATGTTTGATCCGCGCTATGGCATCCGCGGCCGCGTGCGTCAAACGGCGGGAAAATGACGCGTGTACTTGAGTCGTGTGTCACGTTCGTCCACTCTGCATTTTTTACCGCACAATAGAAGGGATGTGGTATCGAAAATTTCCCGTTATAAACAAGTGGTCGAGGAAATCTTTTGATCCAGTAAAAGCCACAATTGTCTCGTTAATGACAAACCTTATCACAATTAAACTGCAGGAAAGTGCAAAACGGCTTAGGATGGATTAAAACGATATTATGATAAAATGTTGGAATCAAGTGGCACTCTAGGCCATAGATATTACAACAATGACAGATTTTCTAGCGAATTGCTTTGTAAGTCTGGCTGTTCTAATGTCTTCTCGAAACATTTTCTACAAACGATAGAAGAAAACGCTCGTTTTAATTATACACTTGAATTATTTGTTAGCCACATGGGTACAATACAAGAAATCCGTTGCACAATCGCTTTCTGAGCAAAGCCGATGGTTACACAAAGGGCAACATTCAAACGCCATAACTTTTGTTGACAGTCAGATCAAACTTAAAGCGTAAAGCTTTTCGAGTTTCTTTGTTTCGGCGGCAGTTGCCATGGTGACCAAAAATCCTTTTGTTGAAGGTGGCAAGGGTTCAATTAGTAGCCGTGCCGTGATTGGTCGCGACTGGCACGAGAGAAAGAAACAGAGATAATTATTTAATTAAGATCCGAATGCGTGGGTTGAGGCAATAAATGACGTAACAACTTCACTCGCTCGCGCCTGCTGAGCATTAATAATTCATGAATGATTTCAGGAACCGTCAAATGGCAATAACAAGTCTTTTGTGTTTGACTGCAGACCTCATTCTAATTATGCACCTCAGTTGATAACTACAGATGCTTTCGCTCAAATAATCCGCCGCAGACATCTACATTCACCCTTCTTTTGCATGAACTAATGCTCTCTGTGTTTCTAGACAAAGCGATCTAAAAGTCGGTGGTTCTTCTTTTGCGAGTACCAGGTTCTTCGTTCTGACTCAACGGGAGGTGTATAGCTGACCGCACGGGTCGTATTTTACAGTTTACAAATCGGAGCGAATACAAAGTCGCGATGCCCAGCACGAGGAACAGAAGTCGTGTACCTGACCAGTCAAGCAATAAAATCGGCGTGAGCGATTTTGAAAAGAGAGAATTCGTCTCGCGAGTGAAAAGATGTAAACTTAAAACGAAAAAAACGCCTAACAACAAGAAATTACATGGGCAATTCGAGGAACAGACCGAAGGTATGTAAAAGTACATCAGTATTTTGATACCACAAAAATATATAATTACTATCTTTTGTGTCCGCTTAATAAACCTCAATAGCATGAAACAAAGGTGATGTCAACCGTCGGTCATAACAAATAGGTACGTTTTTTTCTAGCAATATTTCCGTATGCATCTACCAGCTTACGAGATAGCCGTTACACTTTTTCAAAGTGGAACAATTCATTTTATAAAGAAGCAATCAATGATAATTTTCTATTTTTGCTGACGTAAAGAAATACAGTCAAGCTTCTGTAGCATTACGTCACTATTTTGCCGAAGGCAACACACGTTGTGTTCCATTCAGAGTGAATATATTCTTGAAAGCTTGTTAGAAACATACGGTGTAAGCCCCATAAGCTACCATGGCTGAATGACCGCCATTAGATATTTAAAAGTTTTACGCTCCATAAGAGCTTTTAGAATCAAAATTAATCCATGCCATTGTCTATATAATTACCCTTCAGAGAGTTAGATTTTGCTGATTGAAATTCCCTCGCACGAAATGTTGTGAGTGAACGAGTTGCTTGCCTGACTGCGCTTTTACGCAAGTCGCACTGTAATGTTTTGAAAACGTTCCCGCCTGGTTTTATTGCAACAGTTTCGGCTCAGGCAAGCGAAGAAAATGCGCAAACGTTCGAAAAAAAGTGATATTAAGAAATCATGGTATAGAGCACGGCGCGTAAAAATGAAAACGTCTCATGTGTATGAACTTCAGAGCGCTATTTGAACTTGAGTGCTGCGGATTAACTGTCACTGAATTGAAGGGCTTCACGACAAATGACTTGGCATTGTCTCGACTTAATATTGAAGCTGCTTATGAGGCTATTTCGTGGCCATGAATCAGCTATAAGTCTACCATCACTCACGTAAATATCGGATTAAAAATTGAGGCATATTTTCAGTGGCTAGCGCTCATTTCCAGAAGGTCTGCGCTGACAAACAGACGTTCGTAAGATTACAAGCGTGTTGATAGAAACAAATTTGTTGGTTTCCTGTCCCATTGTCAGCTCAGTTTTTCTTTTTTTACAGACACCGAGTTGATAATGAAAGATAGCAAGGCAAGAGTTCCGAAAACGAAGAAAGAACAACTAACGGAAACATTGCTTTGGTAAGGTTTAATCTTTGTTGTAAGACTATGGTTTCCTGTAAAGGTGTCACGGTTTCAAGTGCCGCTGAAGATTCCAATTCACACTTCTAACACTTCTTAATTCTTTCAGTTATTAACAATTAGTTCGGCTCTGCTTTCTTTCAAACGGCAACGCTTTCTTTTAAGGGACCTAGCTGCAAAAAATTTTGAGTGAAAACCGCAAAGCACTTCAAAACAAATTTGCACATCTTACCAACTAGGACGACAGAAACTAACATTTTTTCGTTAAGAAAAGAAATCCAAAAATAACTTTAAACGAAAAGCAACTGTATCATCAAAATCGCTCTGTAGATCCAGTTACTATTATTAATAAGGTTTTAGTAGGTTAATAGAAGTTATGTCATGCTTTAAATAAATTCACATTTTTACTGTGTAGTATTTACTGTAAACACAGTCTTTTCATCCTATTTGCATGTCACAGATCAATTTGTTTCCACAACACTGATTTCATATTTTAAAAAATTGTCTGTAGCGATTTGTGCGTACTGCCTTAATATCGGCACTAATTTGCTAGATGTGGTTTCTACAAAATCTTGTGAATCTTCACACGTGTTTAACTACGTCCGGAAATTCGGCGGAAGACAAAAATTGAAAAACCACATTACTAGTAATTTAGTTGAAGTAACAGCGTGAACTGCAAACAACACCAGTTACTGCACAGAATATTTTTTTTCAATTTAATATGCCGTTCTCTTTAGAAACCCCGTCAGCAAAATCTTTTGAACTTATTTAGACAAGGAGTATCTCTCAGCTGTTAATTAACTGTGTTGATATCATTGATACTCTTGAGAGTTCTATTTTGGTGTTTTCAGCAAACTTGAGGTTCGTAGCTGTCAGCTTAAGTCAACTCTGTCAGGCGTAAAATAAATTAATATTTCTTTTCGGTTAACAGCTTGTAAGTCTGTAAGTAAACAAGTCTTTTACAGTGCGCCTAAACCTTTCATCGATTGACGTTCATTATGGTACACAAAAGCTTTGACGCACACTAGTCTTGGACTAGATATTAACCCATGTCACCCAGCCAGAAATACGTGGATTATTTTACAGAATTGTGCCATCCGGAATTTCTTAAGACTTTATCAACAAAAGAGACACTTGCTTTGGTAAAATGCTTTTAGTAAATTTCTGTTAAAGAAAATACAATTAGGGAGCTCATGTTTCTAAATGTTTTTTAATGGATTTTCGAGTTGGGAGCTGTAGACCTTGCAGCAAAATTTTGTACACAATTTTTTTTACCATTTCGAGGGAAGTACATTCATTTCATTCCAGAATATTTTCTGAATTTTCTGACTTATTTTTTATATGGTATACAAGTTGTCGTTGTAGGAAAATTAATCAATGAAGATTTTAGTTTAGCGAAAGTGTCTGATGACAGGAGCAATTTACAAGTTACCACCTGTTGATTTTAAGTGAAACAGTTACAGCATTTTCAAATTCAGCTATGTACGTGACACTTTCGTTCCAAGGGCAAGGTAACTTATCGGATAGACAGTTTGTTTACGACGGGAAAGAAATTCCTTCCCTCTTTAAGCTGACGTGCTATGTGTTAAAATCTTGCGGTTGAACTCGATTCAATTAATTTGTTGAAAGCGTCGTGATCACAAAAGACCGGAAAACAAATTCTCGAACCCTTGGAGGCCAGCGGGTTTTAATTCGAACACTTCAAATGTAAATTGTCATGATGTTCTTAAAACTTAGACGTATGGAAATAAAATAACGTCACGGAAAGAATGGAGATTCGGCCACAAATTAGGAAACCATACGTGATCACAAAACAGATGTGTCTTTCCGTTTTGAGCACATGACAGGGGTGCTCGAAAAATATTTCACCGGAGGCACGATTTTTTTATTTCTACCACAATCGGGTTAGGAAAGTTTCTTGGAGAAAAATGTGGAAATTTACTAGTGGATTGCAGTTAGTTTTATGACGTTTTAAGTTTCTGAAAAGAGAAGAAAAAGATTGCCTAAAAAAGGATTCGACGCTCATTTTTTCCCCTTCGGAAGTAAGAGTTATTGCACTAACAGACTCGAAAATTCTCCTCACATCAAATAATGGCTTTAATACGAGATTACATTATTTCTTATTAAAGGTCAGAAACATACTTATATTTAGCATTATTTTAGATGGTTTAGAGTAACCTTGATACTTAAAACTATTCTTTTGTTTGGTCAAAAGTCAAGGAATTATGCCTTTGTCTCGCGTTCATCTTATTACGGATATTCAAAACAAGAGATTAATCTTAACATGTTATCTATAACTCTTCTATCGAGAATTTTCTACGGAGAATTTTCCACCAAAATACTTTGGTGTAAAGGTCGATTGGATTCCATCTTGTAAATAAATAATGACAGAGACATTTGACGTCTTCAGTGTTTGTTGTTCGAATAAAAGATTGAAAGAATGCGGCCTTGCTCGGTGCTAATGCCAACCAAAATATCGAGTTAAACGTAAACAATGAGTCACCGAGGAAATAAATGGGTGGACTTGAATTATTCTGAAATAAAGAGCTTGGGAAATGAAAATGTTCTCGGCAAACTCTTCAAAACCCTTCAAAAGCTGATATAGCTAATTCCTCTTTCCGAGAAAACCGAGTCTTTGATAAAAAAACATTGTGTGAAGTCTGGTCGTCTCCCACATACATCAATGGGTGTGGTATTCGTCACGCAAAGATGTTTCTAAAGTTCTGTAGTCTCTTTGAACGTTTACACGAATTACTTAGCAGTTTTTCACTAATTTCCAGCAAGCTTATCCAACATATATCACCTGAGCAGTTTGCTTTCTATTGGTTGTGAACCAATTCAGACGCACTTTTTCAATGTTTACGGAGTTAAAACTTTCCTCAGTGACTGCCTAGAGAATTGTGAAAACGAAATCTGAACTGAATGTATCTTTTACGCCCTTTGATTGAATGAATGACAGATAAATGAATTACTCTCTGGTCCTCCTTACAAAGCAAATGTCACTGCTTCGAAAAGAGCACTTTTTTTTTTGTTGCAGTTAAGCATGGGTATATTGCAAAGATATATAAATTTTGACCATAAATGTTATATATTTCTACTGTTTTTACAGGCTTGAAGAAAACTATGTAATGTGTGAAGGTGTCTGCCTTCCACGCTGTATTCTGTACGCTCATTATCTGGACTTCTGTCGAAGGCATAGTGTCGATGCAGCATGTGCTGCAACGTTTGGAAAGGTAATTTTATTCGATATTTTTTTTTTGGCAAAAGCGCATTTGACTGGTATACTTCACTCAGCAAAGAGCCAGCGTATCTTTCTCATCCAATCATAGACATGCACACTACCTGAAAGCTCGGCCAATCACGTCCAGCGAATGAAAATAACCATGTTGCCAGTCGCGCGACTTTTCCCGACGTTCTTTACTAGTTGTATGCAAAGGACAAGAAGTGATGATGAAATTGATTCCTTTTTATTTAAGCTTAAAACTCTGAAATTTATACGAGAGAAAAGTTTTCGTGCGACTCGCTGTATCAACCTGAAGCGATAAACTTTGGACATTTTTTTGCGCTAAGTTTTTCGCTGCTGGTTGTATTCCTAAACATGATGGTCGAAGATGTGTTTTTGTAATCCTTGTTTATTTTGAACTGAAATTGTTTTGAATAATTTATTTAAGTCATACAAGAAGACAATGCTTAGCAAAAGAAGATTCCTTTCTGATGACAGAGTAATTATCAAATTCTCTTTGGTGGGTTTGAGTTAGTTTCTCGATAAATGTTCCAAATAAAGGAAAATCTATTCCGGAACAGAATTGACTGTGCCATAAGAAGACAATTCAGAGTGTATGTCTTCTCTAGAGATTTTTATGATTTTCTGGGTTTAAAATCTCGAACTTTTTGACAGCAGGTAATACAGGCTAGAAATCTGAAGCTATTTTGTTTTTATTTTCAGACGATACGACTGAAGTTTCCTCAACTAACCACAAGAAGGCTGGGAACCCGCGGTCATTCAAAGTACGATGGCATTGACTGAACCAATTTTTTTTTTGAATCGCTAATCGTTTCCAAGATTTCGTTTATTTATACGAGCACTTAACAATAATCTCTTGCCATCTCTCTCAGATATCACTACTACGGAATAGGTATCAAGGAATCCTCTGCTTATTATCACTCGGTATACTCAGGCAAAGGTTTAACGAGGTGAGGGAAATAATTCTCCGTATTGACTTCTTGTCATGGTATACCAAGCGACATCTCGCTGCTTATTTTGAGCTGTGTAATTAAATGGGTTTCTGTAGAATAATGGGGTTTGTTTATTGAAAAGACAATAGAAATGCCGGTTCTTTCTTATTCAAAACTCGTCGGGGATGAAAAACGGAAGTTTGTAATGTAAAGAAGTGTAAACTTTAAACACAGTAGAAAAATTACGTGGCAAAAAATAGCGTAAATCTGCGGTCTTACAATGCAATTTTCTCCGTTTGCAGACATATGTGATGTTGAGGTCTTTCCTCCATCTTAAATTAAGTACACATCTAGAAATTAAGTTGTTCCATTTATTTCAAGGTCACTTAATCATTTGACACCTTTTAAATTAAGGAGGCTATACACAAAGTCAGTTACTTTAACGAACAATACAGCATTAATTGAGCTCCGGAGGGACACCAAAATGAATCGCCTAAGAATAGAAAAATATGTTACTCCCAAAGAACATAAAAGCAAAGATGTACATGACTAAGACTCTCTCAGGGGTTTCCATTTAAACCGGTTATTGGCGGTTTGCCGCCGCCTGTAGGACCTCGCACCGCCGTCTGTTCCGCTGGCGAGTAACTTCGTGTGTTTGGTTTCGACTTACGGCACAGCCGCCCAGCCCATCTCACCATCGGCAACCGCTTGTGGACTGAAAACGTTATTGAAGCCCCTACTATATATATTTTTGTATATAAAAGAGTTGACAACTCCGTGCGTAGGAGTGTTCTTAAATGGTAACCAGCTGAGATCGAAATACTTTACAGCCCATAATCTTTCTTAAGCCGAGAGGTCAAGCCCGGCTAACGTTTATGATTTTAAAGCTTTTTTAACTCTTCAATAAAACGCCCCAGCTGTTTTTGATTTCCATGATTCACTCGCAAACTTAAACGCCACTTCGATTTTTTTTCTATCTGAATGATTTTGTTTTTTCAAAGTTCCATTTAAACCAGACTTTTGAGTATTTTAAGAGAGGTATTCTTGGTGTGTGGTCTGTTTGCATACTGCTGAATTAATTGTCTTTCACATTAAAAGGGGTGTTTTTCTCTCAATGTTTCCTTTGTAATTGGGCTAAACATAGGAATGGGAGCGACTGAACGGCGAGTCAATTTGGAAGACTTATTCTACCTCAAATTACAACAAAGAAATTCTAGACTTAACAACTGAAATGTGTAAAAGCACGGCTTAAGTTCATTCCGCGCCCGCGATCAGAAGAGACATGCAAACTAAAGGGCGAACGAGGCTGAACGGTTGTCAGGGGAAACGGCAACGGAAAGAGTTTTTGTTCCCAAACTCTCGCTATTTTTTGTCCTGCCTTCTCCGAATGTAAGCCTGACACAGGCCGCTAGCACTCACAGGCTTGTTTTCGTGCGATTCTGTTTGTCCTTTCATTGCCAAGAGTAACCAAGATGTAATTTCTCTTTACAATACCAACACAATGGTACACAGATTTTCGATGATATTAAAGAAGAATTTCAACAGGGGGATATTATCTGATTTACCACTATATTCTCAGATTTAACACTAGTTAATACATATGGCAAATGGAAAGGAGAATCACTACTAAAATCTGATGATTGAAAGCGTTTAACAGCCACCGCTGATAGCACCACTGACCCACATACAAAACAGGATGTGTAGGTTTCGCAACGTTTCGATTTCACAGGATACCCAAGTAAAAGTTTGCTTCTCAAGGAAATGCAGGGATAGTCAAAATTACACTCATATACCCCCGGCTTCAAACTATTCACTGATGCATGGTGACCGAAATTATTTGAAAAAGTGATTCACGACGGTATATATCTAACCGTCCGCCTCTCTAAAATTTCAGTTTAATCTAATATCTTCATCAATCTTTCCATTTCAAACAGATTTTCTGGGTCAAAAGTCAAGAATGAGGTAAAGACTGTTCATGACCAAAAACGTGATATGTTATTGCTAAGATTTACTTAAATGAGCAATTTTCCTCAGTGTGAGATTTAATTATTTTTGCCCACACACTATTTACCAATGTTCTAATATCTTTACTTAAATATTTTTTCTTTTCGTTAACGCACACCTCATGCATGATACTAATAAACAAGATACTTTCTTCGAATATAGAAGCAATCCTCGCAGTTATGAACACTAATGAACTAGTAGTTGAAATGAGACCTGATAAAATTCAGGCCCGTACGGGATTTAAACCCATGACCTCTGCGATACCGCTGCAGCGTTCTACCAATTGAGCTAACAAGCCAACTGGGAGCTGGTCATTATGTTGGTTCCAAATAAACCCCCCAAGTGGTGAATAATCATTGTAAATATATGAAAGCATATATGTGCATTGTGGTTGAAGAAACGAATATAGCTCAGTTGGTAGAGCGCTGCACCGGTATCGCAGAGGTCATGGGTTCAAATCCCGTACGGCCCTGAATTGTTTTCAGGCTTTATTTCAGCTACTAGTTCAGTAGTGTTCATAACTGCAAGGATCACTTCTATATTCGTTTTTTCAACCGCAGTGCACATATCTGATTTTCATATATTTACAGTCATTATTAAGTTACTTTCTTGTTTGCAGGGCTCATTTTCAGTTCGAAAATACTCACTCAGCTCCAAAACTGGAACACTGTTACCAGATTTCCCAAATCCAAGGCTACTGGAGTTACCGGAGAAAATATCATTAGAAAAGGTAACGAGTTTTTACAACAGGAAACATCAATTATCTATTTGAATTTTCCTGCCTCTGAGTATTGTGTGGTCACATTACATTATCCCTTTCCACCCTAACATCAGTATGCATATTCTCCATACTGTTCTCCACACGTTTCCTAAGTTGCCAACAAGGAGAGTTTGTTTAACAATCAAGAGCTTCTTTAGCTGGTGATCATTACCTTTATTCTCATGACCTTAATATGTGACTCAGGGTTGATATTGTAGAGAGAAATTAGATGCGAGTCACTCTTAGGGAGTAAAGGGTTAAAATCTCTAGTTGATATGTTTTTAAAAATGCAAGAGAAAAGATGTCAAGTGCGGGGCTTGTACAGCCAGGTAGAACCATGTTCTCTTTTTCTTTATACAAATTTATAACACACCATTTCAGCAGCTATAGATATGCTAACATAGATTCCCTGGCGACTACCAAGATAAAATGCGAAATTATCTCTTCCAGCTATCACATATTTCCTCTTGGATCATTCTAAAGCATTTGGTGTTTCTTCAAGGAAGCACCACCCGTTGATAAGATTTTTTTTTCCATTCTCATCACCTATTTACTAAATATTCTTTTGAAATTATTAGGAGAGGAATTACTCGTTGAATAATTGTTGTATTTAGGGGGGTTAAAATCGAAATGAAACTTCGACAATATTTTAATTTTGGTATTAAAACTGTGCATACGACTTTTAACATGTTTTCAGGTTGAAACGTTCGTAGTTATGTACAAGACTCACTGTCAATGTATACTGGACACTGCAATTAATGCAAATTTTGATGAGGTAAGCTGATACAACTGGCGAGGTTCATAGAATGATTTGTGATACAGGTTGTCCCATACCATTGGTGCCTTAGTAATCTCACTGTCCTTAAAAAAATCCTCATTGTAATGAAATAAGTAGTCACCCTAAAGATAAACTACGAGCAGTTCCTTCTTTTCGACTAAGATCGTCGCGCGAGTTAAGAAAAATCGTCGAAAAAAAAAAAATGATGTAAGCGCGTCGCGCGGAACTCTAAGAGTGAGGCGCTACTTTTCGTGCACTCAACTCCCAGAGGTTTGTGCGTCTATCCTTAGTGAATTTGCCAGGCGTTTTTAAAGTTAGCTGTGCACAGTCCAACCTGACTAAACAAGATGACATGCTTTCTGCGTCTCATTTCAGATAAAAAATTTTCTTCTCCATTTTTGGCAAGGAATGCCCGATCACCTTCTGCCACTGATGAACACAGAGGTCGTTGCTGATGTCATTTGTGTTTGTGACTCAATTTTATACAAGGTACTCAAATAAACGATTCTATAAATCTAGTGTCTGTTCATCCAGAAGAATAGATTTCAGTTTTGCGTTTTTCTTTTATCAGCTTTCATCTCAAAGAAATATGCAATGATTAATATAACTCAGTCAGATTTTTTACTTCCTCGATCATGATTCTATTGTTTGAAAATTACATTCAAAGGCTTTTTAGGCCTTTCTTTAGGAATGTTGTCAGTGAAATAGTCAACTTTGCGTGGAAGCACTACATATCGATATTCCTATCCTAGCTGTACAAGGGAAGTTTGTCACTAAGGACACTGTAGCCTTCTACAGCTCAGTGGTAGAGCGTCCGGAAGGTCTTAGGTTTGGCTCCTATGAATGGGAGAACTCGTAGTTTTTATTATCCGCGTATACCCGTGCATTCACTAAAAAACATTATCATTCACTTGAAAATCACGAGGCTTAAAATTTACTATCTTCATTGACGTCAAAATAATCTATTTTTTAATTCCGTTTCTTGTCAGGTTCTCATGGATGTTTTGGTTCCATCTACAATGCAAGACGTGCCAGAAGGGTAAACTGACATTTATGCCTTTTTCGGATGAACTATAATCTTATGTTTGAATTGCAAATTAAACATTGTTTAATTTTTTTATCTCTCATTTCAGTCTCCTCGCTGATATCAGGACCTTCGCGAGACATTTGGAGTCCTGGGTAATAGCTGCTACAGTTGAGCTACCGGATTATCTTAAAATGGGAAAAATTCAAGGTTTGATAACATTGTGACCGGAAATTTATTTAATGTTTATTTCTGACATATTATTCCTTATTTCTCTCTAGAGTAACCTTCTTATTTCATCTTTTATTCTGTTTTATATTTAGCTGTGAGACGTTTTGTTCAGTCCCTGAGAAGACAGACATCTTTCCTGCATCTTGCACAGGTAAGAAAACCGAGCCAGCAGAGAGAACCTAAAGTAGCTCTATGCAAGATTATGTCTTGAACTCTTTTGAACTCTTGGAAATCTTTATCAAGGATACTTAACGCCAATTGCAATAACGGAAAAAAAGTCTCAAAGGATACAAGTTAACCTTGAGATATAATTAGCTCTGAGAGAAATTGTATGTATAATTTCTCCTTACAATTTCGATACATCATCCAGCGAACAGCTGACGAGAATAGACAAAGTTAAAAGCGGTAGGGTCTTATCTTAATATGATACCAAATTCTCCGAACTGATTTACAACGTAACTTTTAGCAGTCAGAAGAGAGACTCTACCGACCATATCGTTAAGGTCCCAGCATAATGAAGCAGTCTGAATCACGAGGCAGATATAATTTGCATTGTGTTTATTTTCCAGACCGCACGACCCGTTTTAGCAAATCAAGAGGTTGTCGATCACATGGTTAAAGACGTTGAGAAGCTAGACAATGGAAACAGTGCAAGACAAACTGTTCACACAAAGACTGAGAAGGAATGCGAGGATGGGTTTGATAATGAATGTAAGTAACAAATGAAACCTTTCTACTCCAGTTTCATCGTCTCCAGAAGCATTTTTCACGAAATTGAGACGTTTGGTATTTTAATTTTTCTTTTTGTTGCCTTGCATTGACCTTTTTAGTTCTCCAAGATTTCGTGGAACTGCTGCGGGAACAAGCTCCTTTGGAATCTTACGTGGAATGGCTAGATAGACTGGTCGAGACAAAGATTATTAGGGTACGTTATCACCATGCGTACATGATTTGCACTTGATGCACATGAAATGAGCATGTGATCAGCACGCAAAGTCGGAAACTGCGCAAATAAACTACCTGCTCTTTCAGAGGTCAGAAGGATTGGCTAGATAATTTAATTGAGGGCTGTAAATTTAACAAAAATCTGATATAGTATTATTTCAAAAAGTATTTGTTCTCTTGTTTGTTTTTAATTCTTAATGATAATCCACGTTGCATACTATTGCAGCCCTGCGAAGGCACTAGTGACGACTTCAAAAGCCGAGCCCAGGAGTTTCTTTTAAGATGGTCATTCTTGGGAGCGAGGCTGATGCACAATCTTACGCTGAACGCCTCGACGCACTTCGGTTAGTACGCTAAACTTAGAAAATCTTTACGTATGGGCGAGGTTATCCGCTCAAGTTATCGATTATCCCCCTGTGAAATAAGAAGCTTTAACCTTTATCCGAAGCTGTGTCACATTATTAGCTTAACCTTTGCGTTTTTGTTGCGTGAAAGGCCTGTAGCGCTCGTTAGTCGGGTCCAAAGTCACCAAAAAGATTGAAAATAGCTTTCACTGCAAAAGCAAACCATATAAGCCGTCTTTATTTTAACTTTACTTCTAAAAGAAAACCCAACTCAGGAAATCGTTTGAACAGAAAACCAAGGCACTCGGTTTTTGCTATTTGCTCTTCATATAAAAAATTCTTTATTGGCTCCGTGCTCAAAATTTTTGCACACCAACACACTTTTATTTCTTTATTTCACTCATGCCGTAATGCGCCTCTCGATGCTTTGTTTTACTAAAAATTTCTTAATTATTTTAAGGTTCATTTCACCTCATCAGAATGCTTCTTGATGAGTATATGCTGCTCGTTATTGAAACAAAATTCTACAACGAAACGGAGGAGAAGCTACAAGAAATGTTGGACAGGCATCTCAAAATGGGTGAGCGGTTATCCCTACTATTACGGATAATGTCTAGCTAAATGAAAATGAAAAGTCGCCCAGCTCTTGGTTTTATATTTTACATCTCAGTAGCGGGGAGAGAAGATGGTCTTGAAGCTTTATCCGTAAAGTTCTAAGTTTATCACTCTTTTCTTTTATTTCTCTTCTTCAGGTGAGGGAGTCGACAAAGAAAAATCTCCGCTTCGAGTACAAACCGTTGTGACAAAAACAAAGTTCACAGTTCCCGATAGCGTTGTACTCAACGGAGGCAAACTGCCTCCTAAGATTGAAGTCGAAGAACCTGAATACACTTGTCGTCCGTCCAATCGCAACAAGCGGACGAAGTCACGTGATCACCTAAATGGCGTGAAACCAAGGCCCAAGAAACTGTCCTCTCATCGCCTGAGCGCATGCTCTATGATGAGTGAACCGATGTCGCCTGCGATGAATGGTTTCCCGCCCACACCGCTGGAGTCGACCGCCTTCATTATGCCGTCTCCTAAGGAGAATTACTTTCCTGGTCACAATGGAATGCCTCAAGCGCCTGTGCTCACGCCACCTGTGTCACCAGCGGTTTCGACAGGATTACCCAGAAACGCTCTAGGGAACAGCAACTTCTCACAAGTGACGTACACAGCCTTAGGCGAGAAAAAGCAGCCTTGGGGATATGCCATACACGGCGATGTAAACCCTTCATCTGAGGCGATTGACAGCCTGGTTGCGCAGCACTTCAATAACTGCGGGCTTGGTGGATTCGTGGCGCCAAATCGGTACCAGGCTCCGGCGACTAACGAGAGTTGTTACATGGCTAATGTAAGTTAAGGACGAGTGAAATAGTACAATCACTCTCTTCAGACAAATATGAGCGAGTGGTCATTAAGATTTTTCCTTAGTCTAGCTCAGTGTAAGCCGTTGAATTATACTCTATCAATTCTATGCCGCATCACTGTTATTCATTTGGGCTGGTAAGAGTTTTGATAATAAATACACTAAAATTTGAAATCCTATGTAAGATCGTTATTGTTATTGTAGGTTTTTTAACCAAAGAAATGCATATTATATACAGTATTTATCCTTGCTAGATCAGAGTTTAGAAAAACAAGTAACTCGCGTTTTGGATTTCAATGAGCTCGTAACCTATTCCCTTTTTTCCCATTCTAGGGCTATGATCACAGTCAACAGTACGTTGAAAATGGTACTGGTCATTCAGGTCCCTCGCCATATCACGCGATGATGAATCACGCAAACGTACCTTATCCACAAGTAATGCAAGGCTACTATATGCCAGTCACGCAACACGCATCACGCAATCACGTGGAGCACGTGAGCACAAGCGCAGAAGTTCCTTTGATGGCCTGCAGTATGGTTTACTCTGAAGCGCCAGGAATGTTGGATGAGGGAGTCGGGGTCGGGGAACACACGGACGAAAATGAGGAATACATCAACATGACAGTCCACAAGCTGTTTAACGGCGACTGTGAGTTGGAAAAGATGGATTGTGTTGATGAACCAGGAATACTTCCTTCTATCAATTCACTTCTTACAGAAGCAGCCATTTAGATATCACAAAGATAGAAACTGAAAAACTTTTTCCTTCGAAAAAATGTACAGAAACAAATCCAGAGGATATTTTGCGCGATCTTCTTATCACTTACGGCTTGAACATGGCAATTTCGAGAGTAAATTCCAACAATTTTATTTGATGAACTTTTTTCGCGCTGGAAATTCCCTGAAAAAACTAATCTTGGTCATTTTGAAACAGCATTGTTTTGGATAAACGGACCCAAGGAGATCAATCAAAACTCCTCAACTTTCCCTGTAATAATTTTAGAAAAAACGTTCAGCATATTTTGGAGAACAGCACGTCATGAAGTTCTCATCGGCAACTACAGTTGTCGAGCTCGTTCAGATTTACTCTTAATTATCTATAACCTGTCAAAAATTCACTGATGATAAATTATGATTCAAACGTAATAGAGAGTCGTGTTCAGAATCTCTAAAATATTCACCAAAAATTTGCAAAATTATCGGCTTAATTGTATTTCAATCATTCGTTTAGGTTTCGCTTATCCCTGTCATATAATTGTTTTTGTTATCACTACGTATGCTAACAAGTTAGATAGGAAATTAGATCATGATTTTAAATTTTGATTTTAGTGGTTAAATGATATATCACATATTTGAAAATAAGGATGAAAATAATTCTGAGATGAACGAATGAAAATGATTGATAAGAATTAGAAATTTCAATGAAACACATTTTGTAAAATAGGAAATATCATGAAGCGACATATTTTTATACCGTAGCTTATTTTTGTGTATATTTCATATTTTATATGGCTGTATTTTTGTATTTTAAACACTTGTTCCTACTCCGACTTTAGTTGTATTACATGTTCTTTTGTAGACGAAAAGTTCAAGGAATATATTGTTAATAAAATTGAGACTTTTATTTGTTAGAAGATGTGTACGGACTTTCTTCATAGGAACGTGATCATCAGCGTTATGATATGGTGTAAGTTCTCCTAACGCCTCCCAACCTCTATATGCGAAGGCGACGGTAGTATGACAATTACGTTTTGACATTAAAATGGTGTTGTCGTCACAGGCAACTGGTTCTGTTTCCCGTGGCAACGTCCTTTGACTTCCTTTTGCGGGTTTTCGCATTTGACGGTTGGCGACGCACGGCTCCCAAGATTTGGTTATCAGTGGAAACGAGGAAGGTTACTCGTGTCAACACCAAAATTTTACGGTGAAAACCCCGTCTATAAACTTTTACCCGCCCACACTCAGCTGATAATCATAGTGTCGCTCGGGCTGAATTTTCGGGTTAAGTTACCAATTCTTGAATGCTGCAAAGCGCGATAAATGGATCAAGTAAAACGAACGGGGTGGTCAGAAGTAAATTCGAGGGATTACTACCAAAAAAAATCCTTGCCGGAACTACTCCCACCCGAACGATCACACTACAAAGTCAAATGTTGCTCTCGTGTGAAAACCATTAACCGGTTAATAATAATGATGAACAGACGCCATTGTGAAGGGGCCATCAAGGTAGGCGGGTGTGATTGTAACTGCTAAAAAATCCTTAAAAGGGAAAGACGAAGTCAGCAGGTTAAAGTCATAGAAACGCCAAGACCTTTACCCAACAAGGTTGGTTAAAATGGGAAAATTACATGAAAAGATTACGCGAAGAAATTTCTGTGTAGATTTATGAATTTTTTTTAAAATTCTCCTTGAGATTGCCTTTGAAGGCCTTCTTTTTCTTAGTACGGCATCATAGCATTTTATTTTTCAAAAATGGCCCAAAAATTTCCCTTGTTAACGTTTTGAGTTACTTATAAGTTACTCATAATTTAAACTGCTGAGAAACAATTTTTCGCGGGGAATTCCGAGTAGGGCGCGATGTAAACCAATCTTACCCACTAGGCCACCAATCAGATCGCAGAATATTTAAGACCGCATTTTATATAGCCCGCAATCACAGCCGGTTACAAACTAGTCATATGCGCGAGGCTCATGCGCCGTAAATAGCAAATGACACAGTCGTGATATGACAAGCGAAGGAAAGGAAATTGGGCAAGAGGGCAAGAGTTTATACACAAGAAATAGAAGTTGCCTGCTTCATCTCTTCTTGTATTTGGGGATTTCTGAATCGTTCGGAATCTCAGGGAAAGAAGAACTCGCTCTCCATCGAACGCACCGACAATTTCCGCCGACATTTTCTGTTTCCGGTGAGACGTTTAGAAAGTTGTCTACTTCGGCCCGCCAAGAAATTAACTACAATACTTTGTAGACCGAATTGCCTTTTGTTTCTGCGACTAAACTGTCTACCTAGACGGCTTTTTCAAAATCATCATGCAAGCTTCAGATGCAGAGGTAATGGTGCTGTTGAATTTTACTGAGTTTTTTGGGGCTGATCTCGAGTTTATTGGCGGGAGTTCTAAATAAATTGTCTGTTCTGTAATTATTACGCAGTGTCCGTTGTGTATGGAGCAGTTGGAAATCGACGATGTCAATTTCTTTCCTTGCACTTGTGGATATCAGGTAAATGAAATGTGAGGTGATTCATAGAAAAACGCCTCATGTGAACAGATGTATGCAGTACAAAACAACTTAACGCGTAATTGTACAAATATGTTAATACATAAACATGTATATCTTGTGACTTTATACACTTTTCAAATATCGTTCTAAATTCTTAGCTGTTAGATTCACAGGCCATAATACGATTTGCTGTTTACGAGTGCCATATTCAGGTTCAATGGTTGAGCAATATTTTGGTTTCTTCGAGTCGGTGCCGTTCTTACACAAGTGTAATTCATCATTAACATTTAACGCCCACTGATGGTAGCAATCGAATATGTGAATTTATACGTACTCGATTGAATGTATCGGGAATATTTCTTCCTAAATATAACAAAAGCTACCAGTAATTGAACTCCAATGCGAAGCAAAAGGTCCATTATAGATATCAAGAAATAATTTGTTGATATATTTACATTTCTTTTCCAATCTCAGTTATGATCTTAGGTGCACGTGTGTTTTGTACATTTGAGTGCTAATCTCTGTCATATATTTAATGTGATCTAAAGCTAAGCCACCATGTTCACACTGACAGAAATTGGTATAAGGAACTTGAAAAATACCACTTGCTGTCTCTCATGAACAAGTGATATATATATATATATAGCTTGAGAGGAGTATTTGGCTGTAAATGTTCCTTTTGAACTTTGAATTCCTCACCTTTGTGATGCTTCAGCTGGTGATTGTCTGTTGTTACTATTACACTTAGACACTGTAATTTAAATTGGCTGTAAGCTCAAAATGGTCTCAAACTATTTAAGTTTGTTTACCACTTGGCTCTGGATGCTTAAAGAAAAACAAATCACAAGTTTGAGCTCAATTTCACTTGAAATCATTTTGAACAAAATCATAGATATTGAAATGTTTTGTGCTATTCCTTCCTTGCTTCTTGTTATAAACAAGCAACTCTCATGTTGCAAATCAGATTGTTTTACTTGTACTTACCTACACCGTGGAATTTTTTTTAGTGGGTTATCTAACTGCAAAATCATTGTGGGATATATTTTCATAAACTGAATACTAAGTAGGAGAAAGTTGTATTCCTTTACCAGTTTTACAAGTGTTACCTTTCAATAGATAGAAAAATCTTGGTCTCCATTTTTACAGAATTTTTTCCTTTTTTCTCTCACATAATTACTACAAATTGCATCCAATTTTTTCCTGAATCAATATATTTTTAGCATCAAGAGAATATACTGTACATGACTTGAGTTAAAACTCATCATAAGATTCTAAATAAAAATTCTAAAAAGAAGAATACACTTATGGAAAGAGAATGAATGCAAATTATGCTTTTTGCAAGATCTGTTTTAAGTAGGTTTGGAATTAATATATTTGAGAAATGTCTTCCTAACCCAGGAATTTTTCGTTTTAGATCTGCAGGTTTTGCTGGCATCGGATAAGAACAGATGAAAATGGCTTATGTCCTGCTTGTAGAAAGGTTTGAAAGTTGTGTCATATTTTGTCTTGTATGTAAGCAAAATTCATGCACTTCTTTCTCAATTTAGCTCCTTTAAACAATAAACTCAAACCTAGCCTTGTTGATGAGCTGTAAAGGATTATTTGTACCTTTTCCTCTATTTTTGGAAACTGTTTTGGTTGCTGTTTGTAGCTATTTCAGTGAAACTTTAGGTATTGAAGGGAGAGTCATACATTTAATTTTATCTCTTGCTTGTGTTAAAGTTTTTCTGTTATCTTTTCAGCCCTACAGTGAAGATCCTGCAGTGTATACACCCCTTTCACAAGACGAGTAAGTAAAGGATAACTTTTCTAATAGACAGACGTCGTTTTAGATCAACGTTTTACTGAGCAAACAAATATACAGCTTTTCAAGCCCAACTCATTTTAGAGATTCTATGTAGCAATTCAAAATCATGACATGTTTGCCAGAGCTAAAATGTTGGGCCAGAAATAATATGAACAGAAAATTAGGGAAAAAAGCTTTCAGCATAATTAATAAGAAAATAAAGTTAAACATTTATTTTGGACCCAAGCCAATGCAAGAGGGTTAAAATGATTCTTAGAATGGCCCAAAACATATTTATCCCCAAGGATACAAGCTGTAGTACCACTATTATCATTTTGGATGGCATTGAGAAAGGATGGGAGGCATTTTAGTCTGCCAAAATTTCTATTGTAGCTTGAAAATGTGCCATAATGCCAACAAAATGATGATAATTTTGTATCATACTAGAACTCCCAAGAGTGATTAACATGTTACTTCTCCATATAATATCCATACATTATCCAGCAAACAAGCAATGAGAAAACTCAAACTTATCAGGTAGAAGTTTTAATCTTGATCTACATGTATCACCAAATTCTTGTTACTGATTAAGAAGGAAATGTGTTTTGTCGCATTATGAGAGTGAAAGGGTTAAGTGTGGAAATAGAGATACTTATTTTTTCCTAGTTTTGACAATGATGCTCATGTTGTGATTAGAGATACTTTGGTTTTCAATACAAACACATCAAAAAAGAGAAAAGCCACACCTGTTACGGGTTATTTTATACAGACACACCATGTATAGTTTGTTTCTCCCAAAAACTTTGCATTAATTGTTTGCTTGCTGTGCAGTTTTTTAGAATTCTTCAGCTTTCAGATTCACCAAAATAATATCAAGGAGGGAAGAAAAAGAAAATGCTGCAATTATATACAACCCTCAGCACAATGGAAATTTATATTTGAATGTGCTTCATGAAAAATTTTAAATTATGGAAAAAAAATTTTTTTGTATTTTTCTGATTCAGTGATACCCTTTTATTTGTTTTGCAGAATACAGAGAATTCTGAAAGAGAGGAAACAGAAAGATGTACAAAGAAAACAAAAAGTAACTGAGAACAGAAAACACTTAGCAAATGTGAGGTGAGAAGGCAAATCAGTATGCACTGGTATGCATTGTCAGAGCATTTTTTTAGCCTTTGTGCAATTTGCTAGGGTGATGGAAGACCTGGCAAGCTTTAGAATTTCATGATGTTATTTTTCAGGTTCAGAAAGTCTATGAATTTTAGTTTAGGTAATGGGATGTCATAGAAATGACTAAATATGATATTTTTGATTGGATTAAGGAAAATTGCTTTCATTGCATGACAGTTTTCTCATTATTTTGGAACAAGCTTCTGGGTGATATTTCGTTGTTTCCTGAAAGACTGAAAAGTAGCCTGTGTTCAAAATGGGATAGACACACAGAAATATAAGTTTCCTACATAAATCATCTCTACAAAGAGTGATTTCCTTGTGCACTTTCATTATTCCAACAAGTATGATCTGCTTTTCTTCTTCTTTTAAGTTATTTATGTTACTTTTAACCTATAATTTTATTTTATTTATTTTTTTATTTTATTTATTTTTAAAGATATATGTTTGTTCTGTCAGCTATAGAATAAATATGCATTGCAATCTTATATGTGATAATTAAATTGTGGAAAAGGCAATTGGAACAGACAAGAAGTGAATGGGTATATATCCCTAAAATAAAAGGATCACAGTTTGCACCATAACCAATGTGGATATTTTCCCTTTTCTTGTAGAGTTGTACAGAAAAATTTGGTATTTGTTGTTGGACTAACTCAAAGATTAGCAGATCCCGAGGTATGTTTTAAAGTTGATGTACTCATGTGCTATAGATTTAAGTTCAAGAATTGAGAGAAATTTTTATGAGTGTTTTTTTCTTTGTGTTTTCCTTGTAGCTTCTTAAAAGACCAGAGTACTTCAGCAAGTTTGGAAAAATACACAAAATAGTTGTGAATAATAGTACAAATTATGCAGGTCCCCAGGTGAGTAGTGAATTCAAACAACTCGGAAACCTAGTATTATGGTAAATACAATCAACAAGCCAACCATGCAGGTCTTCATAGGTAGAGGTAATCGTCAGGCATCAGATACTGTCACAGGTATGAAACTATTGCTATTCACCTGTCACCACAACTAGTAAAAAGAGGGTTGAATGAAAGCTTGCCACAAGCATTTCCAAAGTTGCTTCCTGAACTCAAAGCATGACAGCCCCTTGCAATCATCCAGAAATGGCTAACATTGTTGTTTTATTTATTTATTTTACCTCCATCTTTTAGCCCTTTAACTCCCAAGATTTCATAAACAATTCTCCTTACCATCTGCTATACAATTTATGTGATGTTAGTTTGGAGAATTTGGCATTGGATGAACCAATAATCCCCTAATTGATATTTTTAGTTTATTCCTATCACTTGTCAGCTTGATATCATACTGATAGTGTAAGGAAAAATTCTGTCTAGGTCACTAGTGGGACTTAAAGGGTTAACTCCATCTTGCCTTGAGAAAGTGGAGAAAGTTATAAGGTGACTCCATCACATAGAATATTTTTTCAAATTGTAAGTTTGGAACAGGCTTGTTGGTTTAATCCTTAAGCCCTTAAGAGTGACTTGCATCTTATTTCTCCTTACTATATTTCCCCTGAACTTCAGACATAGATTGATGCTACTCTGGTTTGCGGATTTAATGAAAGTAACCGAAGAAGTTACAATTCATAGACCCCTGGGTCTATGAATTGTAACTTCTTCGGTTACTTTCATTAAATCTGCAAACCAGAGTAACATCAAACTATGTCTGATTGTCCACCTGGTTGCCGTGTGAACTTTAATATATCCCCTGAACTTTTTAGGTGGAAAAATACATGTTCTTTTAAGTTTTGTAATTCAGTTGACAAATAATACTCTATTATTATTTTTAATCAGTCTTATCTGTTTGTTTTATTTATTAAGGGACCCAGTGCTAGTGCTTACATTACATATGTGAAAGAAGAGGTAATCACATTCATTTTTACAACCATTTGCCCAGACTGGGCTTCCCTTGATGAAAGGGTATCAACACATTTTATTTTTATTTACAGGATGCAATTAAAGCAATAATAGCTGTGTGTAACACTCATCTTGATGGGAGAACATTAAAGTGAGGCAAAGTGCCCTGATTAGAGTGCTTTTCTATTGAATGTCACAGAGTAAAACCAAAGTAATCCTAATAACCAATCAGAAGAAAGAAAAAATATTCAAGAGCCAATAAGAACTCAAAGTGAAAACTACCAAACTTCCTAAAGTGCAGAAAATGCTGGCAACTAATGGTGTGATTAGTTTTAGTTTGGCATCTGATTGGTTGAGAAAGTGGTGCAAGTTTTGTAGATCAATCCTCATAGGGGGAATTAAAGCAAAACCAAAGCAATTCTGGATTACTTTTGACACTCAATTGAAAATTGCTCTATTTAGATTCAATGCTTTTTTTTTACAGTACATAGATATATCTGTTGATATTGTGAGTTCTCCTTGATGTGGGTGTGTGTTTCTATGATAATAATGTACATGAAAGAATTGCATGCTTCTGATTGGCTGAAAATGAGTGCATTCTTGTGTAACACTAATGCAAAGTTGTAACACAAGTGCAAATTACTAGTAGCATGCATACGCTTTCAAAATTTTGTCTGTCTTGACTTTCTGTGACTTTTTTCATGTACATTTTAACAAGTAATAACATGATTTCTCTATGACAATTTAATTTGGTGTAATAAGCACTTGAAAATTTTCAAAGGCTTCAAATTTCACTTACCCTGTGGGCCTGCTTAGTTTTGTTGTCTTTGAAAATTTACTCATACTTGTTAACACCAAATTTCCCTCAAAATCATGTTATTACCAATACTAATGATATCTGTTCATACTAAAAGTTTTATGACTTCAAAAAAACTGAATACCAGTACATTTACTGCAATCCCATTTGCCACTGATAATTCTGTATTCCTGTAATTGTTTTTTTAATCAATTTTTTTTGACAGGGCTTCTTTAGGGACAACTAAATATTGTAGTTACTTTCTCAGAAACATACCATGTCCTAAAACAGTAAGTAAAAACCTTGGACTAGTTCATTGTGATAAGGTAATTGGTTTGTCCAATACATAGAAATTCAGAGAATGCGAAAAGAGAAAATTGATTTAAATAGATTCATGGATAACAATGTTAACAACCTGATTTCTTATCACCCCAGAAACTATTAAACTACTG